AGAGAGAGAGAGAGAGAGAGAGAGAGAGAGAGAGAGAGAGAACAGCAAATGATGGTGAAGATGTGAGGAAATAAAAGCCCTTAAGTAAAGACAGGTGTTGGTGGCACATGCCTTTAATTCCAGCACTCAGGAGGCAGAGGCAGGTGGATCTCTGTGAGTTCGAGGCCAGCCTGGTCTACAGAACAAGTTCCAGGACAGCCTGAGATGTTACACAGAGAAACCCTGTCTCAAAAAATAAGCAAACAAAAAACAACAACAACAAAAAACCCTTAAGTTCTGGTTGGACTGTTTTGTTTTCTTCAACTTGACACAAGCTAGTCACTTGGGAAGGGGAACCTAAATTCAAAAATAGCCTCTATAATATTTTCTTATGGACAAGTCTGTCAGGCATTTTTTTGATTAATGATTGATATGGGAGGGCCCAGCTCACTGTGGGTTTCGCCAACCCTGGACAGATGGTCCTGGGTTGTATAAGAAAGCAGGCTGAGTAAGCCATGAGGAGCAAGCTAGTAAGCAGCACTCCTTCATGGCTTCGTGCCCCCAAGTTCCTGCCTTGAATTCCTACCCTGACTTCTCTCAGTGAGGAGTGTGACCTGAGAGTTGTAAGGTGAAATTAACCCTTTCTTCCTTAAGATGCTTTTGGTCATGGTGTTTATCCCAGCAATAGAAATCCTAATTAGGATGCTTTACCAATGTTAGCAGAGTACCAGCTAGTGAAATCAGCATGGACATGCCTCAAAACCAATAAAATAAAAGCTAGAGCTTCCATATGGCTGAGCTGTCTCACTCTCATCCGTATACTCAAAGGACTCTCTCTATAGCCTACTACAGAGTTACTTGAGCGTCCATCCGAGCTAGCTGAAGCCTTATCCACAGCAGCAAGGAAACAGAATCAGCCTAGCTGCTCCTCAGCTGATGGAGAGGATAATGAAAATGTGCTATGTATGCACAACAAAATTGGCAAGAAAATGAGTGGATTGGGGAAATGTTGCGTTAAATGAGGTGACCTAGACTCAGAAAAACAAAGCAAAAACTCACCTGTTCTTTTTGGTGAGGATCCTAGCTCACGTGCATAGGTGTGTAAGTAGGGTTACGCATGGATACAGAATTTGAAACTAGAAAGGAGACCAGGAGAAGGCAGAAAGAGTTTGGGGGGTGTGGGCAATAGAACACAGGTGACATGAGAATAGAAAGGAAATTAAATGAGGGGTTAGAAAAGCAAAGGGGTCAGGGGGCTGGGAGAGAAGCGTGGGGAAAAGATCAAACAAAAACAAATTTGTTTGAAAATTCCATAATGATTTTATAATTCTATGGTCTTCTGCATGCTAATTAAAAAGAACTTTAATTCCATGTAGTTAAATCAGTGCTTCTCTCCTGCAGTTTCAGTGATCCTGGGTTGTTTGTTCATGGGATTTGCCACCTGTCTGTGAACACTGCTTCTGTTTGTTATGAGGAATGCAGCACTGAGCATTAAGTTTGCTTCCAGGATTTCTGAAGCGCTGGCGTTGAGTGGTTCGGCTCCCAGGAGTATTACTACAAGGAGGCAGTTGCCCAGGATAATCCTCTTTGACCCCTGCCACTGAAAGATCAGCATAAGCTAG